TTTTATACCTAACTTTCCGATTGTCTTATATTTTACTCTATTCCACTTACTCTAAAGTCCAGCAACAATGGCCTTCTTGCTATTCCTCCTTCATGATCCTCCATCCCCTGACTGTGGACATCTTTCATGGCTGTCCTCCATGCCTGGAATGTCCTCCAGCCTCATCTATTCTGTATTTTCTGACTTCCTATGAGAGTCAGCTCAAATCTCACATTCTGCAAGAGGAATTTCTGGTGTTCTCCAACCTTCACTGCTAATAATTTCCTCACAAGACAATTTACACTGTACTTATGCTGTCTGTACATAATTGTTTACACTTTGTTTCTCCAAGTAGGTTGTGAGTTCCTTGAGTGCAGGGACAAGGCTTTTGCCTTTCATTGTATCTCCAGTGCTTAACACCATGCTCGGTGCATAGTAGGTGTTTAATATGTGCTTGTTGATTGATTGGAACCTGGAGAATTTTAGAATTCCAAAGAGCTTCAAGCTTGAGGGGCCTTGCCCTGAATCATGTTTAAGGTTTTGTTCTATTTCTGTGTCATGAATCTACTTGGCATTCAGGTGAAATATATGGATCCCTTCTCAAAACAATATGTATAAACACACTAAAAAACCATAGGAAAAAAAACATTTAAAAAACATAGAAAATCAACTATATTCATATGCAGTTAACAAAATATTTTTTTTAAAAAATACACTGACCTCAGGTTAAAAACCTTTGGAATAGGACCTCTTGCTACAAATTGCTTCCCCCAACACTGAAAGATAGTCAGAAAGATATCCACATCCACATATTTCTCACTTCTTGCCTATCTAAAGTCTTTCCACTACTTCTCCTGAACAGCTTCTCTTCCCTTATTGAGATCACAAAGATTTTAAAGGATATAATATATTGGGAGGCAAGGCAGGGTTTATATCTTGGCCCATGTTACTGGGTTGGACTTGGAACCCTCTTGCTTCCAGGTGTTTCCAAAGCCTTGAACCAAGCAGGTTTTGGATTCTCTGGTGTACATGCAAGGGGAAGCTTTAAGGGAGAGAAAGACCTTGGACAGCTGTTATTTTCCCTCATTTTTCACATTCTATTGACAATGGCTCAACAATCACATGAAACAATATTGAAAAAACACTTATTAAAATCTACTATATACCAAGAACTGTGATAGTCCCTGAGGATACAGTAACAAATAATGAAACAATCTCTGCTATTGCAATTATTTTCAAGGTTCTTACTAGCTACTGCCCAAAAGAGAAAGCATGAGATATAGACAGAAAGGGAAACTGTAGTTTATTCATTCAAGAATGCAACACACACCATTAGTAGGTGATGAATATGTGTCTCACAATTCTGCAGATCATATACACAAATGTATATGAGTATTTACCTAAGTATGTGTGTATTTTATATATACAAACATATGTATATATACACATATTTTTATACACACACACACACACACACACACACACACACATATTCTTTCCTCCTGAGCTGTATGAGCTAGATGGAATAGTGGCTTTTTATGAAACAATTTTAGTAAAAGCAGGTATAACAGGTGGGCAAGAAAAAGTACTAAGTATTTAATAGAATAAAATGGATTGCTTACTATTTATTATGAAGGAAATATGTGTCATTGTTAACAGAGCCATTTACAAGAGACTAAAGAAACAATTCCTGACTTATCAGTCAGTATATATGTATTTGTTAAGGATCTACTACTCACTATTGTAGATAAGCTAAAGAGAAGTGGGGGGATTCCTTGAACTAATGATGTCTTCCAAGTTTTCTTTTGGAGTCTTAAAGAGATTGGGGCAAAGGGAGGGATTGAAAGAGGTATTTGGTAGTGTCAAAGAGGCAACACACACAAAAAAAGGAAAATAGAAAATACAAGACAACATGGAGTCAGCTACATTCTCTTCACAACACACCTTCCACATTGGCTTCAAGAAATTTACATTCTATGAGGGAGACAAAATGACTGTAGTCAAGAAGACCTGAGTGCAATCTGGCCTCAGACACTTACTAGCTTTATGGCCTTGGGCAAATTACTTATCCTCTTCTTGTCCCAGTTTCTTAAACTGTAAAATGTGTATAATAATACCGCCTACCTCAAAAGGTTGTTGTAAGGATCAAAGGAGACAGTACTTATAAAGTGCTTAACATAATTACTGGCATGTAATAGTTACTATATAAATGTTACCTATTACCACCACCCCCCCCACCACCACTACTACTACTATACTACTGGTATAACTGGTATAACTGGTTGGTTGATTGTTGTCCTTCATTCCCGAAGAGGACAAAAATGACATGACTAAACTGGAAACAAGGTACAGTGTGTCCAGTTGTGGCTGGTCAGATCAATACAAGCTCAGAAGGCTCCAACACAGGTCAGTGTACAAATAGTCTACATGAACTTTTGGAGTGGAAGGTAAAAATGGTAAAATGGTATGAGTGATGTGTTTTGATTAATGAATAAATTGGATTTAAGTGAGGTAGAGTTGTAAGAAGTTATCAACCTCAGTCTCTCTTCTAGAATCATCAAAGTCCAGGGGCAAAACAAAGTCAAGATAAGTGGTGATGACTTGGGATGCAGCAGATAACTTCAGCATCTTTGATGTCTAACTAAGCTCTAAGCATTCCACAGCACCTATTTCAGCCACCTTCATAGCCATTGGGACAAATTGTACCCATTTGCTCATTTCACTGGGGGAAGTGTTCACATGCTTAAGGCAGACAGCCCCTCTAACTCACCCCTTGGTTACTCTCAACTTAGCTTAGCCCTTCTAATGAAATAGTTTACCAGAGTGTGGCCATCATGCATGTTACAGCTTCTTGGAGCCACAGGTAAGAGTTGTGTGGTAAGCGGACACCAAAGGTAGGCGAGCAGCCCTGAAAAGGGTTTGGTAGCTCTAACATCAGAAGTACCAGTCTTCCCTGATCACACTCTACACCTCCCCCACTATGATGATGACGATGATAACAACTGTTGTTCTTAATTAACAAAAGCAAGTATATTCAGTAAAAGTAAGTAATTAACAAAAGTAAGAATGAATACAAATTGTGTAAATAAGTAATCTTATATGCCAGTTCTTTCAACATCTGAAACCTTAATTGAACTAAACCAGATAACTTGAATTCATCTGGACCAGGACACATGGTCAGATATCCTTTGGGTGTAGCCCAGTACCTGGCATATAATAAGCACCTAATAAATACATGTTGATTGATTGCTTATTCGATTTGACCCATTCTTCTTGCCTGGCAAGTATATAACTGGGAACTTTCCTTCCAGCAGAGGGGCAAGGAATGCTTCCTCTGGGTTAGTTGAAAGTGTTTCTAGCAAATCAAACTTCTGAGAACTAAAATCCTTGTCACAAAGTTTTTTTTTTCCCTGAAGAGTATTGAGTGCAAAGCCACAGAGGGGGCCTTAGGGGAAGGAAAGGTGGGAGGGCAATTAACTGTTTGTTTCCATCTAACAAGGTGCTCAGGGAATCCATACTTAGAAGCACCAAACCTGGAAAGTCCTTCCATCTTCCCACTGTGATCCTTTCACAGACCTTGATAAAACCATATCTATCCAGAACCTCAATGCCTTTTATTTGTAAAAAATGTCAGTCATGGACCAGTTTTTGGCCAAAAATTCATGGGGGAAGACAATGGAAGAGTAAAGGAGAAGGAGCCTGGGGCCTGGTCACAGTGTCCAGCACCAACATTTTTTCCAGTAAGTGCTTCCCTCAAGAAAGCTTCATTTATCCCTGGAGCATTCATCTATTCACTTGGTCAAGAAGCATTTGTTAATCACCTACTATATATGGGGGTATGTGCTATCCTAGGTTCCAGGGATTCAGAGTCAAAAATCCTGCTCTCTGGGATCTTATAGTCTACCAGTGGAAGCAACATGTGCACAAATAAATCAATACACAATATGTACAAAGTACAACAATGCTGCAAGGTTGGTGCTGTTATTATCCCCATTTGATGATACTGATGTTAAGTGACTTGCCAAGGGCTACAGAGCTAATAGCTGCCTGAGACTGGATTTGAACTGGGGTCTTCCTGACTCTAGGCCCAGTGCTCTGAGCACTATGGTGCCACATAGCTGCTAAACTCTAAAAATTACCCACATCTCTCAGATATGTCGTATGAGACTTTGATACCCACGTCACCTCTGGGGTTGTTGTTCAGGAAACTGTGGGAACTGGGGAGATCTGAGCAACTCCTTCTGCTAGCAAAAAATCTACGCAGGACCTATGTGAATAAGGAAATTGTGGTGAAAATTTGGAGCCATTTGGCTAACTTTGTCACCTTGTAGATTAACCTGGGATTAAGTACAAGTAGAATAGGAAGCAGTTTTAAGAATTTTGGTGAAGATCTCCTGAAAGCCCAGGGAATCTTTTAACTACTGCTTTTTATCTTCCTGCTAAAGACTTATTTATCCTTATTTTTCTGAACTGTATTTTAGCAGCCTGGAGAAATGCTCCTACTGGAAGGTATAGGAAAATGTTGTCAGTAAAACAACTGCTTGTTTTAACCCTCTGATCTTGAGGAATGCATTGGAAGTGCTGAGTAACTTGGATATCCACCTTTATTCAAGTTATTGATGTTAAACAGAATAGGTCCAAGCCCAAATCCCTAGAGACCTTAGTTGATTTTGACTCATTAATTACCACTGCTTGGTTTCAGCCACTCAGCTATCTAACTCTGCTATGATTAAACCCCCATACCCCTGTATATGGTAAGGGTGAGGAAGTGGTTGTGGAAGAATAACGCCCACTGGGCAATGCCTGTCTCATTATTGGCTCCTCTGGGCTGGTGTGCTGGGTGATTTGGTAAGTGGCAGGGAGTCAAGAGAAAAGAGGCCTTGTAGGCTCTGGACTCTGGCTGTTCTGGGGTAATTTGGGGTATGTGTGTTGGGACTACCTGACTCATTTTGAGTTCTGTGTTTGACATATTTCCACTATATTTTCTTTTTCTTCCTTTCTGATTCAATGGATCCATAGAAATGGGGAATCAAACAGGGGTCTTGGATTTTCTCCTGTTGGGTCTATCTGACCAACCAGAGCAGCAGCAACTCCTCTTCAGACTGTTTCTGGGCATGTACTTCCTTGGGACACTGGGGAACCTGCTCACCATACTGGCAATCTCTTTTGATTCCCATCTCTACACCCCTATGTACTTCTTCCTCAACAACCTATCTTTCCTTGATCTCTGTTTTGCCTCCACCACAGTTCCCAAGATGTTGATAAATTATCTGTTAGAGAGTAATGTCATCTCCTATGCAGAATGCCTGGCTCAAATGTATTTCTATATTGCCTTTGGTACTTCAGACAGCATCCTTCTCTCAGCCATGGCCTATGACCGCTATCTGGCTGTCTGTCACCCTTTACACTATGGCATAGTCATAACACCACACCTTTATGCCCTGTTGGTGACTGCGCCTTGGGTTTCTACTCATCTCATTGCAATGGTTCTTAGCATATTTATAGACCATCTATCCTTCTGTACAAACAATAAAATCCCTCACTTCTTGTGTGATGTAAATGTCTTGATAAAACACTCATGTTCTGACACACACATTAATGAAATGTTAGTTCTTCTTTTAGGGGGGCCAGTAGTTTCAATTTGCTTAATATGCATTGTAGTCTCTTACACTCCTATTGCTTCTGCTGTGTGGAATGTCCCACCAGCTCGTGGAAAATGGAAGACCTTTTCTACCTGTGGGTCCCACCTCTCTGTGGTCACTCTTTTTTATGGAACTGTCACTGGTGTGTATTTCAATACCACATCCACCTACACAAGCCAGAAAGACATGATAGCAACTGTGATGTATACAGAGGTCACCCCTACACTGAACCCTTTCATCTACAGCCTCTGGAACAATAACTTGAAAGGAGCCGTAGGGAAGCTTCTTGGCTTGAAACATTTCTCCAAGAGACAATTACAATATTTTTTGCCCTATTTCAACATAGATGCATATTTCATGGAGAAAATGAATGATTGATTAATGTCAACCTGGAGGGAGTCCATTAGTGTTGGGTAAAACAGCTCTCTGTCTTCAGTGCTATTGTGTTCAACATTTATATCGATGAGCTAAATAAATATAAGCATTATGAAGATAAATACAGCATGCTTGTATAATTTGTAGATGATATGAAGCTAGGAGGAACAGTTTATGTTTTGAATGAAAAGATTGGGATAAGAAACATTTCAATAAGCTGGAACAATGGACCCATTCTAATAAAATATGGATAATTAGATTAGATTGAATAGGCATGAATCTAAAATTACACATTTTGGTTCAAAATTTCAGTAGCACAAGAACAGAATAGGATTTATATTACTAAGAAAACAACTCATATGGAAACCGATTTGGGATTTTAGTGGGCAAAATGTGATTTAACCAATAGGAAATGAAATTTTAAAAAAGCTAATGTGATCTTAAATTGTATGAAGAGAAAGATAACATATAGGATGAGGAAGATGATCATTTTGGTTCTCCTATTACAATCACACACTTAATGTATTATTTTGTGTTTTTTCACCAGATTTAAAGAAAAACATTAATATGCCAGGGCATATTTAAAAGAGGGCAACCGATAGATTAAGGGAAACAGAAATTAGAAATTATTTCATACAAAAATTGATTGAAGGGATAGGAGATGTTTAGTTTGAAGAAATGGAAGGCTTTGGTGGTGGGGTGAAGGGACAGCATAATAGCCCTCAAGTATTTCAGGGACTGTCACTCAGAAGAAGACCAGGTATTTTGTTGGGATCCAGAAAGCTAAGGTAGGATCAATGACCAGGAATTACAGGAAGGCAGATTTCACCTGGGATGAGAGGGGGCCTTCTTGATAATGTGAGTAATCTAGAGGTGCAGTAGAGGATTAAAAAGTGGTAAACTGTCCATCAAGACATGAAGTCTTCAAACAAACCCTGGACAATCACTTTTTTAGGATACTTTGGAGAGGGTTCTTAATTACACATTGCACTAGATGATTTCTTATGTTTTTCCAACTATGAGAAAACATAATTCTATGATAGTATCTACAAATTATATCTTCCTTAAAATAATAAAGCAAATAAGTTAGCTCTTCTTTATATGATCAAAGACATCATAGATGTAAAAGGAAACAAATAAGCATGATACATAACTTTTTGACATTTTCTGTTGTTATCAATCACTACTCAATACTGATTGCATTGTTATTTTAACAAAATTTTATCTTATTTTTTTAGTTGGGAAATCAAAACTTTGAATGAAAATTGACTTCTTAGGCATTGGCAGCCTTTAATATATTAATGGACTTCATTAGCACCTTATCTATTCTCCTGAATTGTCCTTCCTATTTAGTAGTTCTCTTCATGGTGAAAGTCTAACAGTCCTTCCATACTTGATATTTTCTAGCTCAAATTGTAGGGAAATATCTCCTCAACTCCTCAACTTTGAATCATCATCAACAACAACAACCAAAAAAACCTATTAAATTTCTACTTTGTGTCAAACCAAAGCTAGAGAATAGGGACAGAGCAGAAATATTTGGCAGAGTAGAAAAACGTGAATCCACTGTGGCAAGTCTAATCGAAGGGGAGAGAAAAGACCATAATAGATTAGGAATGTAAATATGGAGAAGTGAAGAACAATGTGGAAGAAGAAAAAAGCAATAACATTAAAAGAAAATATGATCTATATACAAGAAAACACACTGATCCTGAAGACAAGATGTGTAAAGACAACCTAATAATTATAAGGTTCCCATTTTGGAGAGCAATTTGGAACTATGCCCAAAGGGCTATAAAAATGTGCATACCCTTTGACCCAACAATACCACTTCCAGGGCTATATCCCAAAGAGATCATAAAAATGGGAAAAAGACCCACATGTGCAAAAATATTTATAGTAGCTCTTTCTGTGGTGGCAAAGAATGAGAAATTGAGGGGATGCCCATCAATTTGACAATGGCTGAACAAGTTGTGGCATATGCATGTAATGGAATATTATTGTGCTCTCAGAAATGATGAGCAAGCAGACTTCAGAAAAACCTGGAAAGACTTGTATCTGCTGATGCTAAGTGAAATGAGCAGAACCAGGAGAACACTGGACACAGTAACAGCCACACTGTGAGATGACTAATATTGATAGACTTAACCATTCTCAGCAATACTAGGATTTAAGACATCTCCAAAGGCCTCATGATTGAAAATGCTATCCACATCCAAAGAAAGAATCATGGAGTAAGTGTTATGTATCTGAGACTGGATTTGAATTCAGGTCTTCCTGAATCCAGAACCAGTGTTCTATCCACTGCACCACCTAGCTGCCCCTCAATATAGTCTTTATGCAGATGTTTCCTAAATCTAATATTCCACCATTGTGGTCTCTTACACTCCTATTGTCTTTGCTGTGTGGAAAGTCCCATCAGCTCATGGGAAATGGATGGCCTTCTCTACTTGTGGCTCCCACCTGTCTGTGGTCTCTTTTTTTTTATGGAACCATCATTGGTGTGTATTTCAACCCATCCTCCACTCACACAGCCCAAAAAGACATGATAGTGACTGTGATGTATACAGTGGTCACCCCTACACTGAACCCTTTCATCTATAGCCTTCGGAACAAGGACTTGAAAAGAGACCTGGGGAAGCCTCTTGGCTTACAATGTTTCTCCAAGGGATGATTATAGTGATATTTGACCTATTCTAAAAGAGCTAAATATAGTATAAAATAAAGAGGCTAATGTGTTGACCTAAGATCAATGGATTGGTGTCAACATGGATGAAGGCCCCTAGTGTTGTGTCAAAGGACTTTGCCGTTGTTGATATTACGTTCAATTTTTTTTTAATGAAGCACTTTTAAGCTATAGATGGCATGCTTGTCAGATCTGTGAATGACATGAATCTGGGAGGAATAGTTTATGCATTTTTTAAACAGAATTGGAGTGTAAAATGATTTCAACAAGTTCTAACAATGGATTGAATCTAATAAAATGGGCATAATTTAATTGAATTTTATAAGGTACAACTATAACTTATTATACTTTGGTTCATAATTTCAATGTCTCAAGTAACAGGTAGAAATGAGGTTGTCAGACAGTAGCTCATATAAAAATAAACCTGGGATTTTAGTGATTGCCATATATTCTCAAACTTCGATAAGAATATGAAAGTAAAATATGATCTTACATTTAATGAAAAGAAGTATAGAGTCTAGAATGAGGATAATCACCATTTTGCTTTCTTCTATTATGATAATATTTTAATTCATTGTTTTCTCTTCTGGTACCACATTTAAGGAAAGACATTAACAAGACAGAACATATTTAGAGGAGAGGAGCCAGAAAGATGAGAAAACTACCAGTTAGAAATTATTTCATATAAAGATTAGTTGAATAGACCAGGAATATTTATCTTGGAAAAGGGGGAATGTTGGGTGTGAGGGGGTATTGAATGAACAACATGATAATCCTTAAGTATTTGAAGGGTTATAATTTGGAAGAGGGACTAAACATTTTGTTTGCAATCAAAAGGCTGACATAGAACCAATGAAGGAGAATTACAGGCAGGCAAATTTCATCTGCAAAGCATTCTTCATGAGAGCAATCTAAAAGTGGAGTGGAAGATTTAAGAGGTGTTTGGTAGAATGCTGTAGTTGAGATTCTTAAATACACAGTAAAGTAGGTAATTTCTGATATCCTTTCCATCTCTGGGATGATATGATTATATGATTCAGCATTTAAAATAATATTGTATTTATAACACAAGGTAAATAAGTTGTCTAGCCTCAAGATGTCATGAATATGGATATATAAGGAACTGGATTTAGAAGAAAAGAAACAATTGTGTTCCATACATTTCTGGCATTTCATTTATTATTTTCAATGATAACTTAATTCTGATCTCTTATGTTATTTTAATAAAAAAAACTTTATACTATACCTGATTTGGGTCTTCCTATGAACTTGGTATGGAAATGGGCATCTTAGGTATTAGCAACCTTTAACATATTAAAGGATTTGATGAGGACCCTACCTTGTCTCCTGAATTGTCCTGCCTATTTGGTTCCATTTATGATCAAAATCTAAAAATCCTTCCATACCCAATTTTTTTGTGCCTCAAATAGTGGGAAAATGTCCCTTTCACTGTTAATCCACAAAACAACAAACCTCACCCCTCCCCACCTAAATTCCTGCTTTATGCCAAGCCAAAGTTGGACAATAGACATATAAAGACTAAGATGAATTAATACCTGCCTTCAAGAAGCTTACTTTCTAGTGGAGGGAAACAATATGTTTTCATGTAATGGGAACAAACAGGTAATCCTGAACACCATTCTCCAGTTCACAATGCCTCTGGGATCTAAAGGGCCAAAAGTTGTTTCTGTTGGTGATAGCAGTATGACAGCATTCTATGCTACAACAGAACTCAGCCAGAGACCAGAAGAATAGATGGATGATGGATAAGACATACAAGGCTGTGATATATTCCATTAAGTCTCAGAGAAAGAGCTTAGCATTTACCAGAAACCAGTCTTTTCCAGCCAAAGTCACAGAAGACCAAGGTTGTTGAAGCATGAGTTGTTCAATGTTTTAGAAAGTTGAGAGTTGTTGAGACCACCATTGAGGAGGGGGTCAAAAAGTGAGGAATAGGAGATATAAGAAAAAAAGACTCAAATTCCCAGAGATTTCAGAAGGAAGAAAAGCCAACAAAAGAAAATGTGCATAAGCAAATAAACCAACATAGAACATATTAATAATAGGATAAATTATGGTCTCTAGATTAGCAAAATGGTTTTAGGCCTCTTTAAATAAATATAAAACAATGCAAAATGAACCATCACCTCTTGAGGTAGAGGACCCAGTGGAATCCTAAAAAAGAGGAGAACCATGGCATAATATTCCTGAATGCTTTAAGAGGGAAATGAGAATTGTGAAAGCAGAATTTATGGCCTACATAGTAGAAATAATTGGCTGGATAGAAAAACTTAAATCTTTGGTGGCAAGTCTCACC